CCCCCCCCCCCCTTTTTCTCCTCCTCGTTCTCTTCACAGGTCCTGCAGCAAGACGCGGAGCTGAAAGCGTTGAAGACTAAGATGACGGCGATCGAGGAGATCATGAACCAGGCTGCTGAGGCCAGCCAGGGCGGAAAGAGGGCCGTTGAGCAGGTGGGCGATTAATTGCAACACATTGACACATGCAGTCCAGGTGCCGAAGTTTTTTGCTCTGTTTTTTTTTCTTTCCTTGAACACTTTTCTTCGCCGGACGGATTCATCAATCTTCTTTCGGTCGTCAAGAAATCGTTTGAGTTGTAGGTTTAGTGACAGCAGTGATGCCCGCCCCGGGGGGCTCTCGACCTCTCGTCTTTACCTACTGTCCCCACCTCTTTACGCAGGGCACCTTGTGCACTAGTGAGCAGTCGATCGTTTGGCCGCTCTGCACGCGCTGCAGAATCTCTGGAGTACCCACCCCCCGAGTGCTGTGCCTGCTTTTCGATTTTGCTCGCATGGCCGGGCTCCCTCATCAGCGCCGTTCATTTCGGCAAAACCTCTCGCGTTTCCGTGTTTCCCAGGTCCTCAAGGGTCTCATCGACAAGAACACTTCGCGCGAGGGCACCTGCAGGGTTTCCTAGAGATCCCGAAAGCGGCGGACGGAGCGAGGGGGGGGGGGGGGGGGGGGGGAAGGGGAAGGTAAAAAAGGGCCCAAACAGGAAATTTTGGGGCCGGGGAAAAAGGGGTTTTTTTTGGGGGGGGAAAACCCGGGGGGGGGGGGTTCCCCGGGGGGGGGGGGGGGAAAATTTCCCCGGTCCCCGGGGACCCCCCCGGGGGGGAATTTCCCCCGTTTCCAAAAAACCGGGGGGGCCAAAGGAAGGGGGGGGGGGCCCCGGGGCCCCCCCCCAAAAGGGGGCCCCCCCCCCCCAAAAAAGGGGGGGGGGAAAAAAAAAAAAAATTTCCCCCCCCCAAACCCCCCAAAAAAGGGGGGGACCAATTTTTTTGGGGGGTATTTGGGGGGGGGGCCCCCTTTTTTTTTTTTTTTTTTCCCAAAAAGGGCGAAGCCGCGGGGGGGGAAACCACCTTGGGGGGGGGGGAAGAAGGGGGGCCCCCCCTTTGGAGGGGGGGGGGGGGGGACATAGGTGGCCCAACCAGGGGGGGGGGGGGGGGGGGGGCGGGGGGGGGCTTTTTTTTTTTTTCCCTCTATGGGGGGCGCGAGAGAGAGGGGGGGGGGGAGAGGCCCCCCCCCCCCCCCCGGGGGGGGGGGGGGGGG